TGTGCGCGTTCGTGAGCTTGACTGTCCATGTAGGTTTCTGACATATCTGTAAGCATGGACGAGTGGTGATTGGCCTCGCCATTTCTGTTTCGTTCTCAGAAGCGTAACAACCCAACGAGAGGTCATACTCGTGGAGGTGGTTACGTCATCTCAACAGGGAAGCAGTGACCAGGTAACGTATCAAAGCAAGGTAACGCAGCGAAGAAGAAGTAGTGCGGAGGCGAGAAGACTAGAGGTATAGTAGCTGTAGCTGAGAAAGGAAAGAGGGATTGGCAGGGTGGATCATCGAAGTTAGCACAATTTGTGGAGTGGTGCGAGGGTTTGGAGTGGAACAGTGTGAGGTACTCACGGAGGTGGTTATGACGCCGAAGCAGCAAAGCGAAGGGAACGGAGTGAAGAAGAAGAAGGACGATTGAGAGTATGAGTCCAAGGAATGTTGAAGATACTGAGTTGAGGCAGTGGCGTTTCTCGGGTTTCGAGAAGTATTGAAAGTGAAGGACGGATGAGCGACGGGAGAGGTCGGGAGTAACGACGACGCATCGAAACTGCTTCGAGTGTGATGARTACACCTAACGGCTACGAGAGTGATCRCTGCCGTGGGGAAGTGTCGTGTGCGGAGTAGGCGGTTGACGGGCTAACTGACCYWGGATTACTACCGATACCTGTCGTCTTCCCAACGAAGAGCGCACACGGTGGTCGAAGCACATCGAGAGCAGGACGTGTTCGTTGACGTTACTAACGCTAACGCAAGAGCAGTAGTGTGAAAGCGGTTGCTGACGCAGGAGAGGGTCAGCTAGAGTTGGGAGTAACGGGCCACCTGAACGGAAGGAATCAGCAGTGGGAGAACGATCGTTGACGTGGAAAGGGGCTGGGCTCGAAGTTGGAAGTGGCGAGTTATCCGGCGAAAGGAATCAGCGGTGGGAGAACGATCGTTGACGTGGAGAGGGGCTGGGCTTGAAGTTGGAAGTGGCAAGATATCTGGCGGCGATCGTGGTATTGAACAGACGGAGGGAAGGATTGCGAATGTGGAGAAAAAGCTCCCGCGTGAAGAAGGACGTGGCGGACTACCTGACCTGGGATAGCGGTACTGAGTGGCCAGCAGAGCTATTGTCGGCAAGAGTAGGGTCCGACGCGAAGCAAGGATTGACGGTCATCCTCCTCCTCCTCCTCCTCCTCCTCTTCTTCTTCTTCTTCTTCTTCTTCTTCTTCCTCTTCTTCTTCTTCTTCTTCTTCGTCTTCTTCTTCTTCTTCTTCTTCTTCTTCTTCTTCTTCTTCTTCTTCTTCTTCTTCTTCTTACTATTATTAATATTATTATTAGTATTATTCTTATTCCTCGTATTCTTCTTCTTCTTCTTCTTAGCAAGAGCGTGTGGCGCGACACTTAGTTAGCCTACATCTTTGGACTTGAGGCAGTCGAAGTTATTTAATAGATTAGTCGCTCATTAGTTGCGACCTTCACGTCGCACATAACGGCTCAGTACCCTGAATATGGGGCAGCGTCAAGTGCTTATATACAGCAACCTAACCAGACACCCCTTCCACCACCACCACCACCACCACACCCTCCCCCTCCACCCCCTCCACCCGTGTCCACCCAACTCATCCCACCGAGACGACAGTCTGGTGAGTGCTACACTTGTGGTGAGTATGGGCACTATGCAAGGGATTGTCCGAATAAGAGGAACGGGAGAAATTGGAGTGGTCTGCAGCAGCAAAGCGGCCAGCCGCAGGTTCCTGGCGGCACTGGGGTGCATGGGCAAAGCACGTACTATGGGGGAGGGCGTAGCTGGCCGAGGAAAGAAGACTTTGACGACAGGATAAGCAGGTTGTTTGCCTTTTCGAGAGTTAGCAGCAGGAGAAGGAGGAACTACGTAGAGCGAAGCTTGAAAAGAAGCGGTTGGAGGAAGAGAAGAGGAAGCTCGATGAGGCCAAACAGAGGGAGGAAGCAGAAAGTCGACGCACGGAAGAACTGGTGGACGCGAGGGCAGCCCAAGCATTCAGTAAGCAACTGCAGCAGCTCGAGGAGCAAATTAAGGGACATGTGCAGTCGACAATTGACGCCAGATTACCAACCCCAGAGCAGAGAGATACGACACTGCCTGACAATCTGTTGCGATACATGCATGATTCTGATCCCGGAACGAGACGGGGGCTGCGTGCAGTGATCACCCCTAGTCAGAAGAGGAGGTTGGTGTTAGACGACGAAGTGCTGGAGCTAGATGACCAGGTGGAGTTAGTTACCCCGCAAGTAACCAGGAGGAGGTCGGCAATAGCACGGGGGAAAGCTCCCGCCGGAGCCGAGGAGAAGAAGAAATGCGCTGTGGCCTCCTGCTCAAAATTAGGAGTTGTTGATTTTGTTCTGGAGTTGAAGGAGAGCCTGCAAGCGAAGAAAGTCCCAGAGCTGAAGCAGATGTGTAAGAACAAGAATATTAAGTTTATTGTTAAAGATCAAGCAATCAAGGAGCTCGTACCGGCGGAAGCTAGACTCGCGTACGAAGGATGGCTTGATGGAGTAGACAGTGGGGGAACCAAGAAAGAAGAAGGCTCGTCAGCGGTGGAGGGAGCGGTGCCAACTAAATGACGGTGTCCACCCCAGCGAAGCTGCTCTGGGCTAGGCTACCATCATTCATGGGCCTGAGAGACGCACTCTGGGGGAATTACGGTATGACAAGGTTCAAGATTATTGTCGAGCAGGCGATTATAGCGGTGTTTCTACTCCTGACGCTGGCGAGGCAGGTTCCCTGGGCCTCGAAGCTTCTCTCGTTCGTGCCTAAAGACCATGATTTCTTTGACGTTAGTGGACCTGCAGTATACTGCCTGGTGTCCCCGTGGTGTAAGAGGATATACATAGGACAGACCGTACGGGGTGCAGGGGAAAGGTGGTGGGAGTACATACGGTGTGCTGAGTTAGGGACCAAGGGGCATGGGGCAAAGCTATACGCTTTTCTTAGGAGGTTTGGCTGGGGTAAGTACTTGGTACTCCCATTAGCCACAGGAGTAGGTTATGACCTCGTAAGAGTGGAAGGAACCTTCATAGGCAGGTTGTCACCATCACTGAACACAATTGGAAGAACAGTGAGAGCGAAGAACAAGGCGAGACCGGGACAGAAGGAGAGGGCGAAGAAGGCAGTTGGGCCAGCTGTTCGGAGAAGCACCCTGATAGTGTTTACGGATCTCGCCACTGGAAGGAGGAATGCAAGCCTAAGTACGCTGCTCGAAGAGGTGAGTAGAGCGGGTGGGAAAAACATTACACTGGCCAGCTCAGGTGGTCAGGTGTGGGGCGAGAAGTGGTCGATCGTCAAGAGGTTTTATGGCACGTCCACAGTGAGGACCGATGAAGGGAAAGTCCCGCTTGCACGAGCCAAGTGCATGATGGAGGCGGGGGGGCAGTTTCGGATTGCCCCGGTAGAGAAGGCAGAAAATGCACGGCTGAGGGGGAAAGGATACCTCAGACAGTTGCTCGAGATGCCGAGGAAGAAGGGGGAGTTGAAAAACTTCGATATTCCGAAGCTAATTTTCCTATACCGCAGTGCGCGCGAGTTCAAGATGAAGACAACGAGGAGGGTACTGAAGGAAATGATAGCGGACGTTGTACAAAAGAAGACAGGCGTGGAAGTTAAGAAGAAGGTGAATGTCAAGGTCACCTACAGCCATAGACTAAGGAAGAGAAGGATAAGAGAGACAGTCGCAACTGCGGTGGGAAGCAGCAGAATCCACCCGGTGTTAAAATCGGTGTTGAAGCAGCCGATCAGAGTTGTATGGGGACGCAACAAGAACGTCGAGGAGCTGCTCACTAATCATCGCATGTCAGCAAGAGCCGGTGGTCGAATGTACATGCAAAGATGAAGACTTGCCCAGGGAAGGTGGGCATGTGCTGCTCAGAATTGCGCAGTACCCTGCGATACCGAGTTTCCTCTGCAATGGGAAAAATATTCTGCAGAACACCACTGGGGTCGAGCAGAGGACACTGCAGAGAGAAGTCGAGCGGGCACTAAATGGAGTGATGAGGAAGGAAGATTTACCAGAGGTTGAAGGGACAATGCTTGAGAGTTGCGTCAATAGGGAAGGGAGGGAAAGTGCAGCAAGCACGGAGGAAGAAGCACTGGAGTTAGCCAGGAAACTGAAACACCTGGTAGCAGTGCCCGTGGATAGGAACCCCGGTGATATAGTGGTTATGTGCCCAACCACATATCACCACGGGTTACAGCTGATGTTTCCGTTGAATGCGGCCTATGAGGAAGTAAAATGCATGAAGGAAAAGGAGTTGCTAGCCCATATTAGGAGAGGCTACAAGCAAAGACAACTGGACAAGATTGGGGCGTGGAACCCTGCAGCGAAGATCGGGCAAGCGTACGCCCTCCCGAAGAACAAGGACCTCAATCGGTGGAGACCAATTGCACCAGCTTGCGCGGATGGAGCCGGGACAGCCAGCAGAAGGTTAGTCAAGGCACTCAATTTCCTGCTAGAGAAAGCGCCAGGGGTGAGACACTTCAACCTCAAGGCTACCTCACTACTTATTGGCAACCTCGGTGCGGCAAGCGGCAGGGGGAAGGGGAAGGATGAGGAAGGGTTTCCAATGGCAGCGAGTTACGATATTAAAGAGATGTTCACCTCCTTGCCACACCCGACGATTATCCAGGCGGTCGACTGGTTGCTGTGTCAGTGGGAAGAGAAGGACGTGACAAGAGTCAGACTCAGCCGTAGAGGGAGTGTTATTGTCCTTAACAAGAAGAGCCTGGGTCCAGGATATGTTGATCTGAAGTTTGCTATGATTAGGCAACTGGTCACCTCCGAGCTCGAAAACACATACGTGATGAGCAAAGGGAAGATTTTAAAGCAAGTGATTGGGATTCCCATGGGAAGGAATTCCAGCCCCCCACTCGCATGTACGTTGTGCGTGAGGTACGAGGCGGAATTCCTCGGATCATTGGGGAATGACCAGAAACTGGTACATGGAGTACGCTTGGAAGACGACGTCACACTGGTGGTTAAGTGCTATTTGTCAGAACCAAGCAGCATCGCAAGAGGAAGGCAGATCCAGCGAAGGTTCGCGGAAGCATATGGGGAGCAGTTGCTATTGGTTCGAACAGATGACGGCTCAAATTCTTGGGATTTTCTGGGCACAAGAATCACAGCAATACCTTGTCCCATCCGGTTTTTGGTTCGGCCAAAGAACAAGAACCATGACTGTGTCGGGAGTGGAGAGCTTCTCTTCTGTTCTTTCCAAGACTACAACTCCTACTCTGAGAAGAAAGTCAAAGCCGGAGCAATTACAGCTGCTTTTCACAGGATCCAACGACATGCTAGCGAACCACTGATGGTCATCACCCCAGTGTTGGAGACGAGTTGTGAACTCAGGCGTCGGGGCTACCCCCCGACGCTCTTCTTCCACACTCTGGCGAAGTTTGCCAGAGTTACCAGTTCCTTCAGCGAAGCATGGAAGATGCTAGCTGAAGGACTGGTGCAATTTGCGAGACGCAGTCCGGCAGGAGGAGAATGAAGTGATCCCGCGAGTGAGGGGGGTGTGTCCCCCCGCTTAAAC